ACAACTTCTTTATAGAGTGGTGCAAATTAAATCTCAAATTAAGCTATTTATGTATTAATAATTATTTTTCTTAAAATAAATAATTTTGAATGGCAATGGAGAGAACATAAACATCTACTTTTGCTTAGAGTACTTTGAAATCTTGACAGCCTGACCATAAGCAAAGGAAAGGTAAATAAAATCAGTTTGCATAAAAAAAAGGGTTATAAAATGTATAGATACCTGCAAATGACATCTTTGGGGTGTCATCTTTCAAGCTGCACAAAAATTTCTGGTTGCAAAACTAAGGCACTGCAATACTGGCACTCCTGTAAAGCATGTGAATTCTCCCTCTGAGATAAGTGTCAAGGGAAGAAAATCAGGTGAAAATTTGTGGAAAAAAAAGAATTAAAAGATACTCTATAAAGTAGGAGGCTTGATTTTCTGTGAGATATGTAAGAGGGGAGTGGTGTGACAGTGACTGGAAAGGAACCTACCAGATAATTTTAAAACAACTTCTACACAGAATGGAAAATGAAATGGGATAGAGATAAGTAAAAGATTATCAAGCTTAGGTATGTCAAGGGGAGACAGAGAAATGATATGGAAAGAGCTTAACCACGAAGTCAGTCTAACAAGGTCCATATTGGGGTTGTGAAAATTATTTGCTTTGAGACCACAAGGATTATATAACTTCTCAGTGTCTTCCTTTTCATATCTGAAAAAAAATAAATAAATAAAGGTTCAAATGCTATAACTAAAACATTGAAGAAAATGCATTTCCTTTTGAATGAAAACTCATGTGAACCAGGGCATGGGTATAGAAATAAGAAAGATGTTTCCTCTTTTAATGGACTGATTTACTTTTAAGATTAAAATTCCTTTGACAGAATGGCCCACTACAATATTATGTATTGGATACGGGGTGCACAGATAGAAATGTGCATGTGTTTCTTGATATTTATGTGTCAATAATTATTCAGACGGCATAAAGCTTACTCTTTTCCAGCTATGATTATTATTATTATTATTATTATTATTTTGGTTTTTGTCATTGCAGTTTTCACTTGTTTTAAATTTCTTTTAGAGTTGTGAAAGAGTCACATGACTTCAGGTATCTTTGTTAATTAGGCTGAGAATTTGTGCTTTCTTTGGGAAGGAAGAAGAGCTAATTTCATGGTGATTTTGTATGGATGAAAGATAAAAAAGCATATAGCTGTAACAGAAATATATTATGTCATCATTAAGTACTTAATTAAGTCTAACATTAAAATTCAAAGTAAGATTAAAAATGTATTGTTAATGAATTGATATGTATGTTAACCTTGAAAATATGGATTTTTAAAATTTTGTTATTTTCCCATTATTTCAATGTCATTTAGGATGTGTGTGTTACAAAACAGTGTGGTTTATTTCAGGTTCGAGCCTGTTTCAACATTCCAAAATGTACCACTGTTATTTACCATGTCCATAATCTAATGAAATAGAATCATTTTATCATAGCATTTATCACAGAAAAAAAAAATCCAAAGTTATTCATGACTTAGAAAATTTCAAGCTTATAACAGAAATGTATATCCCAATTTGATCTTAAAAATATAATCACCCATACATGTAACACCACCCATGTACAGAATAGTTGCTTGGATATCACACACATATATATCTCCATAAGTAGATTCTTGGATGAAACCAATATGAGTGTATGTGGAAGCTCCCCACATTGACAAGCAAATTCTCACTACCTATAGGACATCTGAGAATCCAACCCACTTTAGCACCACCCAGAGATAGCACCAGAGTGCACAGGTTAAGAGACTCAGTTTCCCAAAGCTGTCCTCTATTCTAGATACTTTTTATCAGCTGAAGTATTTCTCCGTGGGTTTGATCAGTTTACTATCAATCAGAAGTTCTCAAAATCCTTCTTGGGCTCAATGAACAAGCTGGAATGGCTCATAGGATTCAGGAAACCCATTACTCATTAGATCACTGATCTATTATTGGATATTATATGTAATTGTCAGATGGAAGAGATGAACAAGGTAAAGTATTTGGAAAAGATACTTTTAAGCCATCTCCAGTTACACTACTCGCCCCAAACACTCCACCACCACCACGTGGAAGCTGTCCAAACAACCGCTGGTAGCTTTAACTAGCTTCATTACATAGGCACACTGATTACCTCATTGGCTACTGGCAATTGAACTCAACCTCTAACTTCTTCCCCATACACAAAATGCAGGTGTGGAACCAAAAGTCCTATTCTTATTCCTGTTGGTTTTTTGGCAATCAGCACCCATTCTTGGGAGTTTCCAAAGTTACCTTAATTAACACAAAAAGAAAACTTTTATTACTCATAACATTTAGGAAATTCAAAGGGTTGTGGGAACCATGAGCCAGGAACAGTAGATCAAGTCCAAATGATAGCGTTCTTATAAACCACAATATTTCCACCAACAACAATGAGGAAAATGGCTTATTGTCCACAGCACACATAACATGTTGGGTAAATTACTGGAAAGCTAATGGAACAGTGAAGGAAAAAAACTGATCTTAAAATTTTCTGAGGAGAGAACCAGGGTTCAGCACAGTAGAGAATTTGTCACCACAATTGGAATGTGTCCAGTGTGGACACAGCAAATATGACTGGAATTAGAATGAAACATGGATGTGTGTATCCCTGTTTCTTCCACTGGATTTCTATGATATCAGTTTCACTCTTTGTGTTGATCTAACACTTAGAAGATTAAAGGTTATATTTAAAACAAATATACTTCTGTAAGGTAAATGTGCAATATAATATAACTTTGGGTATAATTATTAATAGAAACAATTCTCCATGCAAATTCTGAATATTTTTAAAGATTCATTTACTAAGTATTTTTGTATAAATGAATGCTGGCATGTCAATGATTGTATTATTATAAAAGAAAATGGAATCCCCAGTTAATACAAGTATTGCACTATTAGCTCTAGTTCTTTCCACAGTTTAAAAATAATCCATTAACACTTTCAATGTAGGTACATAAAAAGACCTCATTTCACCCTATCCCTCCTCTGATTTCTCATTGTACCTGAAATTATCTCCATTTAAGATATTTTTCACAAGTTTATGCTTTTGCCTTTTGTTGTTGTTGTTGTTATGTGAAATACCTTTTTGAAAAACTTGCTGATAATATATGTGCTTGTTATGGACTAAGTTGTGTCTCTCTCAGACTAATATATTGAAGTTCTAATGACCAGTAACTCCAATTGTGACTGTGTGCGCCTGTGCTACTATAGAGGTGATGAGAATAAAGTAAGCCCGTATGGGCAGGCTTAGTCTAATTGGTGAAGAAGCAGAGAGCAGATGGCCACCTGAAAGTAAACAAACAATGCCCGCCACAAAAATCAACTCTGGGCAACTCTTAGATCTTGGATTTTTAGATTCTGGGACTGTGCAAGAGAAACTATATAAACCACCCAGTGTGTGGTGCATTGTATTGGAAGAAATACTAACCTAATGCAATGGATTAGAATAAAAATTTAAAGTAGTAGTACTGGAAATTTACCAAGTCAGTCCTAATATCTCAGTCAGATGGCTTGAAATGAGATTCTTCTTCCAAATGATAATTGAAATAACTGTAAAAAAGAAGCAATTTGAGCACCAATAGTAATTATGCTCACTAAACTGAAATTCATGTTAAAATAAATCAACTGCTGATTTTGCAGTTGGGCTCATTTCAAATCACAGAAACTCCCAAGATTTCTTCAGGACACTGTTTTTCACTATACAATAGTATTCAAGTTACATTCTTCAACAAGACACAGAATGAAATAATAGTTCCTGACAAGAATCATTTTGTTAACCTGAAGATATCTACAAACATCTTTTCATGTTGCTCTAGCAAATCCAGAAGTTGCCATCTTCTCCCCACCCCCTTAGTATGTTTATAAAGCACCAAATGAAAAAATTGCATAAACATTACACAAAGCACATTATTACTCAACACAAATTTTCTTATGTAGCTTATAAGGAGGAATGAATGGTAAATTGGTGAGTGGAGGAAAGGAAGCTCCCCAGTAAAGAAAACAGAGTGAGCAGTTATGAGAACCCATAAAAAGGGGACACAAGAAATGCAGATCAAATGAACAATTGTCCAAGCACCTAAATTATAGTTATTAGTTATAAAAATTTAGAGTAATCATTTTAATAATGAATATGGTACATATATATCAATCCATATTTTGCCTGTCATTCCCTGTGTAAAATTTTATGTTCACAACTTCGCAAATATACAAATATTTAAAATGTTTCATAAAACAACTAGATTTTGGCAATCTACATGGGTATATAGCAACGTTTTTTCTGTATATAGTTTCAATATTTCACCAGTCACTTAAAAAGTTAGCAAAGAGGGCCCTCCCTGGTGGCGCAGCGGGTTAAAGCACAGCACTAAGAAGCTAAAGCCAATTCTGCCCTGGAGGAGATCCACATGGAGTGGCAGACCTCTGCTGACCCGCCCGCTGCTCCACTCAGCAATGTACCTCGGCGATCTGTCTGTTCTGCTCCCCACTCTGTCTCTGGTGAATCCTCTCACCCTCCGCATCTCTGGCCTGTACCCCAGCTCTGTATGAATAAATAAATAAATCTTAAAAAAAGTCAGTGAAGAAAATATATTACTTTATCTATTTTGTTATGTGCATTTCTAGATATTGTATAGTGTACTTGAAGTAGTTTATTTGTATGCTTATAAAATCTTCTATTTCTTAAAAATCTGGATCAAATTAAAAAGAAAAAAAAATCTGAATGAGCGCTGTATGAGACTGTTTATGTTAGAGTTAATACAGATAATGAAGAAGCTAATTGAGCTCCAATAATGCTGACTTTGCATTTGTGTTCATTTCAGGAATCAGTCATTGGTTTGCATTTTCTGAAGCCCCGGATATTTATTATTTATTTGTTCAACAATATATAATATCATTTAGACATGCTTTAAGTCCAGCCTATAGTATATGCCATGTTTTTTTTTTTTTTAATTTGCTCATCAGAATATCACAAGTTTGGAAAAAAACTCCAAGAAGCTATATAATACATTCCTCTTCTGATAGTTAAATCAACATTTTTTTCCTTAAAAAAAGTTTTATAGAAATACACCTAGAAATTACATTTACGACTAAAGACTTAAGTGACGTCGTGACTTCTTAAAACCAACCTTCCACACACCAGTAAAGTATTAAAACAAAAACAAGATTTATTTTAATGTGGAGTTTCAGCCCTGAGGCCTCTTTGTCTAAAGAGGGACTTTTAAAAAATTCCTTCTTTAACATTTTATTTTTTTTTTTTTTGGGAAAAAAGTAACATTTTAATGAACATCTTCCATAAGAATTAAGATTAAGATCAAACATTACTTCTCAAATTCAGGACTTACATATTGAATTTGATATCACATTTACTTCAATTTTCTGGAAGGGCAGGAGAAACAAATATGTTTGGCATACATTTAAAAAGGTAAAAAAAAAAAGAAGAAGAAGAAGAAGAAATAAAACTTTGAATGTGAAGATGGAGGGAGTGTTCTGGAAGAATTCTTTTTTCTTCAAAAGGAATGAGAAGTCAGCATGTTGCTATTGCTCTTTGACATAAAACAATGTCTTTTTGTGTGTCCTTTTATCTCTGAATCCTGGGTTGCCATCACAGCAGAGTGTACTGTACACCATTTTAAATGATAAGAGTTTCAATAGGCACTTTAGTGGAATTAAGAAAAATCTAACACTCTTCCACCGTGATGCCACAGAGCAATCTTCCTTCTAGGTTGTCATGTCAGTAAATTGTATTTATAGGCCTGAGCTTGTCTCAGTGTTTCCAAAGTAACAAAACAAAACCAAGCACATACATATTGTAGGGTTTACCTTGCGTTGGCAGAATAAACCGAAACTGACAACATGATAAATAGAGCAACTTGCTAGAAACCAGATAATCAAAGGAATCTTGTCCTATAAAGCCTGGTGTATGTGTGGGGGGTGGGTGCGGGGGTGTGCGTGCGTGTGTGCGTGATTTCTATGTGTTTCCTCTTCAATGTCTCCTGTTCTGTGTGAGACTTTGCTTCTCCCCTAAGTGACTTTATCAGGGTGATAACTCTCCTCTTCGCCAAACATGTCTGCCAAGACTTTAAAGCGGGGTCCCCAGTCTGTCAGAAAGTCGTAGTCCTGGTCAGCCTCGGTGGTCAAGGAGTCTATAGAGCTGAGAGACTCTGCTACCGAACCATCGCCTTCATAGGCGTATGTTGCCAGCGAGTCGTAAGGGGGTGCCGTGGGGTCCACATCATTTTCCTGTAGCCTCTGATTAATGAAATCCCTTATATCTGTGTTATCTTCCACTGGGGGTCTCTGACGAGGTAAACAGAGTGAGTCTGGTTTTATATCCCTGCGAATTTTGTTCTCTTCAATCACTTTTGGGTTTCTCAGAGCACCAATGTCGAAAGCCTGAGTGTCCTCCTCCCCACCCCCTTCGTCATCGTAATGGATGACGTTGTCTCGGATGTCTTCTTTAGAGGTCATCAGGGTGTCTTTTTTCTTCTGCCTTCGCAGAGCCACGTACAGCACGACTATGGCTAGAACAAGACAAACATCACAGTTTGAGAATATGTCAGTTCATCTTGCCATAAAATCAAACATTGCTCAGGCTGACTTTCTGCACTGCCTTCCTATTATTATTTTCAAAGCAAGCATGATCATCAATAAGGATGACGGACGTTTGCAATTGTTTTTCATTGTCTAAACCCAAACTTCATTTTGAAATAGCAACTAACAGAAACCACAGCAAAGTTACACACACAAATCAAACTGTGGTAGTTTTATTTTTAAGAAATAGTATACTAATGGCCCTCCCTGGTGGTGCAGCGGGTTAAAGCACAGCACAAAGAAGCTTAAGCCTCTTCCGCATGAGTTAGATCCCCGCCTGCCCCGGAGGTGACCACATGGCGCGGCAGACCTCTCCTGACCCGCCCGCTGCTCCCCTCAGCAGTGTTCTTCATCGATCTGCCTGTTCTGCACCACACTCTCTCTCTCTGGTGAATTCTCTCACCCTCCGCATCTCTGGCCTGTACCCTAATTCTGTATGAATAAATAAATAAATAAAAGAAAGAAAGTACTTAAATAGTTCAGTGTCAGGTAAATTGTCTGAAGAGAAAAATGGCTGTTTTGAACATACAGAAAGCTCAATAATGTTGATGTAATAAAATGAATCTTGCAGTCCATAAGTAACCACTTAGATATTAATCACAACTAAATTTTCTAATTGTGCTTCTAAATACCTGTGCTTCTAATGAAATAAACCAAAATACTCAAGTGACAATGACTTTTACAAGCAATAAGAAGGAAGGGCTGAGTGGAGGGAGGGAGGGAGAGGGAAAAAACATTTTCTATATCATTCCCGAGATTAAGTCAGGTATCCTCATTTGTCAGAATATTTAGATAAACATAAAAAAAGTATTTAACAAAAATGATTAAATAACAAGCATTCATACTTCTTTATTCCAAGATATCTATTGCAACTTGGATTTAAAGGAATGCCTGTAGAGGAATTCTCTATATCTGTGAATCACACAGCATATTAGTAAGTGAAATGGAGTCAGTTGCACAAAGCTGATGGAGCAGGAAAACTCCCTAAGATGGGTTTATATTCACGCTCACAGGGATGGTACAGAATATATTTACTTCAATCCTTTTCCTTTGCAATACTTCTAGATGTTTTAGTGTGCTCTATTCTAGTAAGAATGGTTAGAATTTTGATGTGGGGAGATGTGAGAAAAGTGAAATTGCTTCTGACTGGTAATTTAAACCAAAAAAAAAAGAAGAAGAAGGTGGCTTTACATATTTTCACTGTCCTTTCTTTACTTTTCTTCATTATTAAACCCATACTTTTCTTTACTTTTTCTTCATTATTAAATCTATACTTAATAACTCTTGTTCCCTTCATATATTTCAATGGGGCTATATAATCTCTTATTAAAAAGCAACCATTTCTAGAATACAAGTTGAGACATCATTGCTGGAATATTTACCATTGAAAATTTCATTATGACAAGGGCAAGAACATACCTACTGAAAAATTCCCTAGAGCTTGAACGAGTCTTCTGGATTTTTTGACGATATTGTATATTTATCCCTAATAGTAACTATCCATGAAGTATAAAATGGAAAAGTAACCTTAACATAACTCACTATAGATAATTTTCCTTGTATCCAGATAGAGCACGTCAAAAATGGATTTACATGATACATTGAGAATTGAGATAGGAAAGGGGAGAGTGAGCGAGTGAGAGAGTGTGCACAAGCGTGAGCTAAAGTCAGAATGTGATTAATATGGAAACCAACCTAAGAGTATAATAATGCACAGTAGGATTGCAATCAAAGCGCCAGTGCTGAGTCCTACAGGTAGAAAAATTGCTTCTACATTACAAGACAAGATGGTACCATCAGAGTCACATCTACAAACTCGAATAGACATTGTGTTTGTGCTGCTCTGGACCGGGTAACTGCTGTCTTCTATTACAACCGGGAGGAAATACAACTCTTGCTGCCTGCGGCTGTATCCATTTCTTTGGGTTTCGATCCCAGCTGTGTTATCTACAAAACATGACATGTATGATAAGACAGTTACTATGAGCTTGACTTCAAATCTTGAGCTGCCATCTGTTAAACAGTAGGAAGCTCTTGTTGAATCAGTAAAATGCACCCATGTATTAATTCTTCCTTTTATCAAGATAAAAGCTGCAGAAATGTAACCAAATGCAATCAAAATAATCCTTAGGGAGAGAAGCAGCATTATTGTATGGTGGAAAATTAAATTTTCTTTGCAGAGAAAATATAAAATGGTTTATAAGACATGAAATTCATTGTGTGGATCCATTTAGGTTTTCTGATATCAAAACCTGATTGAAAAAAATAACACTCCTATGGATGTTTGCTTACATGATAGGAAGAGAAAGATTGCAAAGTATCCATCTGTAAGACATCCTATCTAAAACATTCTTTGAAATATAGCAAATATAAATTTATTATTTCAAATTAAAACTTGATTTTCCCCAAATCCATATTTATATAGATGTGCACATCAGAGAGTACTGAAAAATGGAAATGAAAGTAAACTATGTTAAAAACACAAAATTCATTAAACATGTTAAATATCACAAATTGTTATAATCATAATTTTAATAAAACTTTAAAATAACTAATAAATGTTTAACAAAATTAAAAAAAAACTCAAATAAAATCAACAATGTTCATACTTACATGTAGTTATTCAAGGAAATCTATTAAAATTATATATAATTACAATTTTTATTAAAATGCAATTTACTTTTAAATAAATGCATTACTATTCTACATAGTTTTCCCTATTATTTCAACACATGCAAGCAGGGCTTTCTTGTATTCACAGCACTAATTTTTTTAACTTAACTGTTAGATACATTTTTATTTTTAGAATATATTTATATTTTTTTATTATAGTCATACACAATACCTACTTTAGAATTAGGGAATAAAAAAAACTCAAAGTACAAATACATCAGAAAATACTTATATTTCCAATCATATTCACTCTTTTATGTGTAGTTTCTCAAATTAACAGCTAAATCGTGCAGCAGCTCTAAACTTATTTTGATAGGAATCACCAAGTTAAGGAATTTTTTCAATTAAAGAGAGTCTTGCATAGGACAATTCATTTGTTTTGACATACAGGATTATTTTAAATTGGGAAGTGGAATATCAAGAAGCTTGATGTCTTTTAATATTTCAGTGAGAGTTGTTGATGCAAGTGCTTGTGGTGAAATGGAAAAAGGGGACTACATGAATTAACATTGGCATTTTCAGCAGCTGATAGTTGACTTGAGTGCGGGATAAAAAAACAGTCAAAGTTTAAAACTCAAAACCCTGGTATAAATGATTATGAGCAATAAAAGTCAGAGAAGCTGGCAATTTGCACCTGGGAGGTGGGAATTTAATGTTCTTGAACACAAGTTATATCTAAGGCAGTTTGCTCTTTTTGAATGTTTATTTTTCAACCCATTATTATTATTATTGATATGTGGCCATATCAAGCTAATTGTGCTATCTATAGTTGGAATAAAAAAGACATATTCAACTTCATTCTACATTTAAAATGGATTTTGTTGTTGAATTAATAAAAAATGTAATTTATACATATACACTTGAATATTCAGCCATAACAAAGAAGGGATTCCTGTATTTGAAGCCACATAGGTGCACCTAGATGGTATTATGCTGAATGAAGAAAGTCAGACAGAGAAATAAAAGCATGGCATCAACATGGATGAGCTGGAAGGGATCATGCTTAGTGAAATAAGCCAGAAAGAGAAATACCGGATTGTCTCACTCATAGCAGGAGCATAAAGAATGGGAGGGAGGGGAGAATAATAATGAACAGTTATATACCAGAGACATTTTACGCGAATGGAGTGGGCAATGGAGTAAAAAACAGGGGTGAAGGAATGAAGTGCACTGGATGATGGTGATGGCTCACAGGTGATTTGGTGATGGGAAGCCCACAGGGAATACAACTGAGATGCAAAAAGGTTACAAAACAATGTAAAATACATACATACATACATATATATGTATATATATATATATAATTTAAAAAAATACTGCATGCTATCACATGCATAGAACCAAAAAAGTAAAATGGAGTTAAATAGAAACAGAAGGTTGAAAAGTGGTTCTAGTCTCGGGGTAGAAGGGCTTCAACAAGGATGCTAAAAGTGTAACACCTCCCAGTTGTGAGTAAGAGCTGAGGATACGTTTAAAGTGGTGAATATCGGTGACAAAATTATTCTGTATCATTAGAATGTGGTGACAGAATAGAACTTGAATGTTCTGATAAGAAAAGCTAAATATGTGAGGTGAAAAAATGGTATCTCTCCAATGTAGAAAAACTTCCACTTAGATAGCTTAAGAAAAACAGAAAATGTTCAATAGCATTTGAAAGGCAAATAGATGTCTGAGAATGTGCTGTGCTATTAGGCAAGATGATCTGATTTCATTATCATGATTAATACAACGCACTTTCCCCAGAAGAAATACACTGGCAGGTACACAGTCAATAGTTATGTTACTGAATGATTGACCAGCCACGCAGATGTCTGAATTAATGATCTGGAGGTCTGATTAGTCTTCTTTTCCATCATAGTCACATATGGAATCTTGGGAATCTGGTCGGAAGTCAGGAATTCTGTCTCCATTCACGTATCTCCATCTTTACAGCCTTACAGACTTCTCCGATCCACAAAAACTTTGGAAAGCAGGCTGATAGTCTGCGAGTATTGTTTTTTTATATTTCAGTCATACTGACTTATTTCATTCAGCATAATATTGTCTAGGTTCATCTATGTGGTTGCAAGTGGCAAACATCCCTTCGTTGTTATGGCTGAATATTCAAATGTATATGTATAAATTCCCTAAAATATAAATTTGGTTATGTTATATAGTCTTAAAACCTTTGAAAGACTTCTTAAAATTTTGATTACTGTTTAAATGATTTGGAGATAAGAATGATAGCCACACGGTCAGGTTTGTCCTGGACAGCCCAATTTTATAGGTGCTATTTTAATTTTAATTAAAATTAATAATAATGTCTACTTCTACTTTTAGAAGTGATTTTTTCATGGAAGAAAGTGTTCACTCTACTCTTCATATTGCAACTCTGTTTCATTTACAGCAATTCTTCCTGTTAACAGCAGTAAGTAGGCAGAAAGGACACTGATAATTTGTATCAAAGGACAAAATAAATACTATTTTTATGCACCAAATTATACTGAATTTCTAATTGTGACAAAATGTGGAAACTCTGACTCCCAAGAAGATGCAGTAAAATAAGCTTTCTCAAAACATACTTTGACTTCTGTCAATTATCATCCAGTATCATCATTCATCATTATCCTCTTAGAATAATTTATTCATTCTGTTTGCTTAGAATATAGTGAAACTAGCTTTTTACTGACTAATGTTATAAAAGCATATTTTGTTAAATCCCAATTTTACAGGCTACGGAAATAGAGATTAGATATATTACCCAAAGTCACAGAACTAATAAAGTCAAAGCCCTTGCCCCTTACTTATGCTTAATTTTCTAATCAAGTGTCATTATGAACACTGTATATTTTAGTAGCCATAATACTGGCAGATATGATAGTATTAGTAGTACTAGTGCAATGATAGTAGTAGTTACAGTAGAAATGTAAGTGTAGACATGGTGTTAGAGGTGGTAGCTAAAATTATCTTAAAGTTAATACATTTTTGTCATTTGATTAAAGGATTTGCATACATTTTGTTTAGTGTAAGTGCCCTAAAGCTGAAATTATTTAGAATAAATTAATACTTTTAGAGCCTGCCATTTAGCAAAGGTGTGAATATAAACTGATATTATTCTACTTGCAAAGACTATATTCTTAACCTATTTTGTACTGTAGACTATTCAAGTTAAGTTACTGAAGTTACCTATTTGTATATATTAATAATATACAAAGGTAACAAACACAGGGAACGTTTTCAATTTCCCAGCTAAGTCTTCTGTTTGCCTGACTCATTAAGGTACTGTCCACATTATAAATGGATTTAATTTGCCTCATTAGAGAGTCTATGTAGATTAAATACTTAATTTACCACTGACTATAGTAATTTTGTATTTTTTCATATATGACTTTCTATATTTTACGAGCTGAGTGTTTTTTTGAAAAACACTTTCTACTTCTGTGTCCTTTTACAAAGTTACATGGTAAGAGGCAAAGTGTTATGTGGTTAAACTTACTTTTGAAGTCACGGACTGTAAAATTTGGTTTGATGGCAGCTTCAGGTGATAATCGAAAGGAGAATAACTGCCCAGCAGGAGAAAGATCTCGGTCTACAGCACTGACTATCTGAATTATCTGAAATCAAGTTGAGATAAAATTTAAAGTCAGTCAACAGTTTCGAAGGGAAAATTACATGCATGTTGGACTAGTAAGCAGGTAACACACATGACAATGAGGATTCAGGTCAAAGGAACAAACAGATAACAATTTTTATAATGAGCTAAACATTTATAGCTGATAGTGTAGGTACAATGTTCGGGTTGGGGTAATTGTAAACCAACATCTACATAAGTTAAAAGCTAAACAACATTGACATTTCACACTAGTAAACAAATAAAATTAAAATGTACTTGCTTGCATTTTAAATGAGAGGAAATCACTGTTTTCCAATCTAAATATGCAAATGATTATCCGAAAGAACATGTCTGATAATTTAAATATCTTGCATTAGCAAAAATTTAGTATAGCTATACTTGTGAGAATGAGGTGTATATTCGTAAATAAATAAAATGGAGAGATGCAAAGGAGGTAAATCTGGTTTTGCTATTACATTGATTTCTCCCTAGTGGGTAAAACTACTCATTGTATTTTCATGGACAGATTGATTTTTAAGAAGTAAAATGATCCTGTTTCAAAGTGTTTGCTAAACTGTTCCCATAGTTTGTGTACCTTGTAGTTACAATTCGGATGAGAATTTGAGTTCAAAAATAACTGATTTCGAGGAAGGGTGGGTGTGGAAGAGAGAAAGGTGCTGTTCAGCTGATCACCCTCTTGACAAATTTGGATTTTCAGAGAAAGATCTTAGAGATCATCTTTAGGGATCATCTTCAGAGATCATCTTCTACATCCTGGTCTCAGTGGGCAAACATTCTCTCATGTGATTTAGACTGACAAACACTCTGTAAAGCTTAGGAATACCACTTCATACCTCTTCAAATGTACAACACACACAACAATCCAACACATTCCAGACAGTTCTCTACCGCACTCAAAAGTCCCTCCACGGGTTCCTCCCACTTCCCCTCTGGTGACAACAATTTTGCTCTTAGATTCTAGGGATTGATGTTGCTGTGTTTTGTTTGATCATTTTCTCCTTCCTTCCTTCCTTCCTTCCTTCCTTCCTTCCTTCCTTCCTTCCTTCCTTCCTTCCTTCC